CTTCTTTCAGTCGGCTCCTGATATCGATCAAAACACTTTTACCTACACTAAAAGCAGACTCTGGAGCAACAGTGCTAATGGAGGTGCCAGGAGATCTTTCGCAATTGCAAAAACAATTGGCCAACATCTTTCATACTTTCGCCAGAATTCAATTACTTTTTCTGAACTTTTTTTAATTGTTCTGTCTGTTGACATATTATGATTGAAGTAATCAATTAATTCAACAGGCATCGCATTTTAAGTTGCGGCCGATGTTTGATGAGATGCAAATGTAGACGACATGGCACTAAATGGACACATTGCAGTTGTATCATATCTAAATGTATTAATGCCTTGAAATAAATTCATTATTTCAACATCATCTTCTTCAATTTCAGTTGAAGGAGTAGGTGCAGAGGGTACTCGACTAACATTCGCACTCATTCTTTCCGCATATAAATCATACATTCCACATAATGTTTGCTCTAAATTTTTATAGGTGATAGGTGTATCAAGTATTAATGTTTTATTGATTTGATCAATTACGTATTTAGTTCTCGAAATATTATATCGGGGGTCCATTGCGCATGCTAAAGGAAATAACATAGGCAATTCTTCCCAATATTTTCTAAACTTTAATTCCATAGTAATTATAATTTCACTAAAAGTAAGATCATTTTTATATTTATGGAATATTCTTGCAATTATATAAAGGTGTTCAAGTACCATACTGTTTGTGGGATAATAAACGCCGGACAAAATCTTTGTGGTCTCATAAAAAGATGTCAAAAATCGTTTAACTTTCAAAACTAAAACCCAATTGGATTCATTCAACATACTATCGTCATCACTTGTAACGTGTCTATTATTATAAAAGTCAGTTATTAAATATTTGAAACCTTTACATGATTTTAATAGCAAGTAAGTAGAGTTCCATTTATGGCTTATGTCGCTAACAAATGTTTTAGCAGTCGTCACCCCTAGTTCGGCACAAAAATTTTCAAATACTTGTTTTCTATTAGGAGAGATCGTAATATATACTAATGCATTCCTAATTCTTTGAAATTCATTCTTTATATGTTTTAAACCATCTTGCACAATTAAATTCATGATATGGCACACACAACAAATATGAAATAAATACCCACCAAAATCAGGTTGAAGTGTCATACATAATTTATCGACGACTACCTTATTAACACAGCATTATCAAAAGTAAAAGATCAAATTTTAGTCTCGCAATTATATTCTCTAACAAACTGATAATAACATTATATATATTATTAGTATTGTGAGGAAACTCAATAATTCTAAAAGCAATAATTTTTTTATGCATGCACCAAAGTAAGTCTATATAGTGTACGATTGTAGCTATATATGCTCTTTTATTAACCTCTTCCCATATATCAGAAGTTAAAGATATAACATCCTCATATTGTTGCAAATTCATAATTAATTGTTGTTTTGAATTATTGAAATATTGTATTGTATCGTATCGGCACGAAGAGTTTTTTGACTTACTTCAACATACCTTGATTGCAGATATTCTTTCACAAATGAGACGAAGTGTTGGTTGTCTACAATAATCAGAGGCAACTCAGTGGCGGCAGCAAATTTCACAATTTCGGTTCGAGTATTGTCCTCCAAATACATTCACGTGGATAGGGGTGAAGTCGTAGAACCGGCGCCTGGACTGCCAAATTGCAATTGTGTTTGACCAGCTGGAAGAAGTCCATGTCTGGCCGCACATGCTTTGTAGTGGCGGTTGAGATGGGTGGTACCAATTCCTTTTTACCATGTCAATCTTTGTTGGCAGTATTTACATACCGTTTTAGATTCTGCAAGGCCATCGACGACTTTTCCCATTGAAATCAATTTAAAGTGATCATAACATTTTGCTTATTTTTTGCCCTTTCGCTTTCCCCTCGTATTTGGGATGTTTAATTTGACATTTTCGTTCTTATGTTCCGTTTCGAGAACGTTAATATCATTCAAATCAATTGGATTGTGGCTTCTCTGACCGTGAATGTGAACTTTCTTCAGGTATGGGTATGTCACATTAGACCGACAAATTCATTTGGAAATTGATTTTGCGGCGTCCTAAGCAATTTGCCATGTGGCCCACATCCTGTATCGAATAAACTCTCAACAAATGAGTATTGATCCATTTATTTGATTATTTATGATGAAATCCAAATATAATAACTAGAAAAATATAAATGTAGTGAGATTGTGAGAATTGGATGAATTGAAATTGTAATTGAATATATTGTAAAAAATGATCGATATTGTATATTTTGCAACACAAGAGAGTAAAAACTCGATAATTGATATAATAAAAAAGAGTTGAGAAATGAGAAGTAGTGATTGAGAGGAGATAATTGATATGGAAAAAAAAGGGAGTTAAGGGGTATTTATAGCAGAAAGGAAAAAAATAAAAAACAAAAAATTTCAGTGACCGTTTGGTCACTATAGTTCACTCGGCTCGTGGCTCATCGCTGAAACGAGCCGCTTGTGAGTTCAAGGCGAGCTGAACGGGCTCTCGACGAGGCCTGCTCGGCTCGCGCTCGTGATTTTACGAGCCCGAGCCGCGCACGAGCCCTATTTCGACGAGGCTCGACCCTTTTGATATCCCTAGGTTTAAACAAGACTAAAATGTCAATAGTAATGTATACTTGGTTAGTATTGAATACTAGTAATGTTAAATAATATTACTTTTTAACATTATATTTGTGGACTTGTAATATATTGAAAATCTATTAAAATCCTTTCAATTAATTGAAATTTTGGATTTTCACAAATGATCGGGATACATAGAATCTAATAAAATCCAAGTTTTGTAAATACCTAGAATTTAATAAAATCTATGTTGACACATAAAAATTCAGTCCAAATCGAACAGCCCAAGGAATAAAGCCCAATTGAAGGATCCCCAAATCGGATAGCCCAAAGAACGAAGTCCAATCAAACGAATTAGGGTGAAGGCCCAAATAAGGGGCCCAAGAATGCGGTGACGCCATTGCCCAAGTTTGCGAGTCGCCCAGAATCTGAACGAATGGGGTGTCATACGGTCGTCCAGAGCTGTTATTCCACTCTCGCCCAAACTTTCAAGTCGTCCAAGGTATCAACAAATATAACGCATCATGGTTATCAAGGAATGCAGTTATCAAGGCAGTTGTTAAAGTAGCATTATCACGTTCCACGACTCAAGGAATTCAATCGAAAGCGGTTGAACGATGAAAGATAATGACAGCAGTTAAGAGGCAGTTTCATGACAAAATGGCCACTACAAAGAAAGTGGGAAGTTATAGGACGATCAAGCAGTTTTCAGGGTAGTTAATCACAAAGAGATCGTCTAGGAGGTATAAAAGGGAGAGAGGACGCAGAAGCAAAGGACCGAATCCAAAACTCTCGAACAGAGAAATATGTAATTTTCATTTCCTTAGCTTTTAGACTTAAATATTTTTCTGTAACTCGTGTGCTTGCGCCCCTTGGAGGCACGTTGTTTTTCATTCCCAATTGTAAAGTCCATCGCCAATAAAAGAACACCCCTTTTTGGGACTTTGTCTCAAGAGGTTTCGTCCCTTACACAATCGTCTGACCCTTTTTAATTGTTAGCGACTTAACCCGCGCGAAACAATCTATTAAAATTTGAGTTGGAATATCTAGATTTATACAAATTTTTATCACAATATTACGTAATTAAATCCATATTTATAGATGTTAATAATTACCGTGTTTATAAGATTTTATAAATACACAGTAGGCCAAAAAATTTAAAAACAAATCAACCTAGCAGTTTATATCAATAAAACATGTAAGAAAATAAGTGACTACATTTCTTTATTTCTTTCCTTATATAGCTTTTATGTCGACATTCTTACAGAATATTTATGATCTCACCTTCCTTGTATATATCGAAAATATAGGTTAATTTAGATACATATGGAGAGAAATATCAGGCTTGATGAGCTCGTTATGTTTCCATAATACAAATTAGAATCATGCCACAATTCCATGTGGCATCTGATCATTAGATTATATAAAATATAATTAACATTTACATTCAATCATATTTTGCCAACACTTATTATGTTAAAGCATCTGTCAACATTTTCCGTCAAAAGTGACATAGCCATACAAATTTTAAACCCTATTTGACTTCTTCATCGTTCTGATTGAAAGGGACAGTGACTTTTAAGGTGGTACATTCAATTGAGACTTTTAATGATTTTTTGAAATTTAAAAAGTTTAGAGGTTCAATTGAAACTTTTTGAGACTATCTAAAAAAGTTTAAGGTGTATTCAATTGATACTTTTATAAACTTTTAAAAAATTTCTAAAAGTTATGATATATTCAATTAAAACTTTTTAAAAGCTTCTATAAGTTTAGGGGTATTCAAATTTTAATAACTTTTAGAGATATTTATAAAAGTTTCTAAAGTACTAACTTTTAAGCAGAAAGTACTCATATAAAATATTAAAATTTGTCTCTCATTAATAATGAGATTTTGAGATACTTTCACAATTTTTTTTTAAATCTTTCTTTCATTTAACATTACATGGACATGTATGATTAACATTTATTGTTTTTATTGATTATCTTCATTTATCTTTCTTTCTCTCTCTTATTATTTATCTCTATTTTCTATGAAAAATTTAAATTGGATTCTTGTAACTTTTTCTTTTGTTGTTTCATTTATTTTTATTTTTTTTGAAAAATATCTATTTTTTTATTAAATTATAAAATTTTATATGAAAATTTTATAATTAAATTTAGATATATTGATTTTTATTTATTTTTAAAAATATACTATACTTTCAAATGAAAGTCTTTTGAATTCTACAAAAGTATAAAAATTTTAAAATGAAAATCTATAAAAATTTACGAAAGACTTTCACTAATTCCATATAAATCTATAAAAAATCCATGAAATTCACAGAATTCATTATTTAAAAAAAGTCTATTGAATCTTCAAAAGTGTTTCAATTATGAAACAATCATATTCACGTGGATGGATTTGCAAGATGGTTTTCGTGGCTTTCATCCTACAACTTCCGAATGTAGTTTTAGGGGAATGTACTTGCGAAGCCGAAGAGGAAGAACGGAACAAAAGCTTAGCTCTGAAATATAAGTTAGCTGCACTTGCTTCAATCCTCGTTGTGATTGCAGTTGGGGTTTGTCTTCATGTTTTGGGTAAGACAGTACCAGCTTTGAGCCCGGAGAGAAGCTTTTTCTTCATTATAAAGGCATTTGCCACTGGAGTAATTTTGTCGACCGGGTTCAAACACGTACCACCTGATGCATTTGAAAGCTTAACATCTCCGTGTCTCAGTGCCCATCCATGGGGAGATTTCCCGTTCACAGGCTTTGTGGCAATAGTTTCTGCCATTGGAACTCTTATGGTGGACACATATGCAACCTCTGATTACAACAAGAAATCAAGCGGCATGGCGCAAATAGCTAGTGGCGATGACGGAGGAGTTGTCCCTGTTCATACTCACCCTATCCATGGTCATGCTCATAGATCAGCATCCGTGGAAACCGACTCTGGTGAAACACAAGTTCTTCGTCATCGTGTAATCTCACAGGTATAAATATACATTGTTACTGTGTGCCAAGTATTTTTTTCATATGTACTCTGATTTTGATACTAATCGTTAATTTTCATTGGACTGTAGGTGTTGGAGTTGGGGATTATAGTCCATTCTGTAATTATTGGAATTGCTTTAGGCGCCTCGAAAAGTCTTAAAACCATAAAGCCTTTAATTGCTGCTCTAACCTTCCATCAATTCTTTGAAGGCATAGGACTGGGAGGATGCATAACTCTAGTATTCTTTTCTCAATTGCGAATATGTCTAAGATTTGGCTTAGGGTTTCAGTTTTTTGACCTAACTGGATTGTTTTAGTATGTCTTTGAGTTTATTGATCTTGTCCAATCCATATGAGGATGGATCATGTTGACCCCAATAAATGTTGCCAACAGATACCGAACCCACCCGCGCACACGTGAGTGAAAGTCCAACACGCTAAGATACGTGGACGGTCTTTAAAGGATGGATCGAGGGCGTAAGAGTAGCTCAACGACCCGGGACGAGAACGTTCGGAATCTGGCGGGATGTTCGTTGATCGATTGTACAATAATTACCAATCGATGTTTGTAAATGTGTATCCAAATTTGTATGAACTCGTTTGTGTTGTAAGATAATAAGAGAGAGAGTTGAGTAAAGTATGGTTTCTTGTATTAATTCTTGCATTAGCCTTTGTATGGGGTACATGGGGGAGTATTTACAGTTTCACTAGTTAGATCATGACCTTTGGTTCGGGGTACACGTGGCCACATCCGATTGAGTTACATGTCAAATTGCAGGCATCGGCCGCATCTAACCTGTTATACATTTATTGATTGGTAGAGTCGCCTCTACTAGTGACAAGACTTAACATTTATACTGATGACAAACGTCCTATCAATCTTCAAGTAGATCTTTGTGCAGAAGATCTCTTGGGAGAGGTGTCTATGGAAGATGTTGCTTTGTGCTTCGGAGATGTCACCTCGGCTATAGAACTTCGACAAACAGGGCCTCATCCATCTTCAAAGGGCCTCGGCATATGGGCTTCGGAAGCTCCTCATGAGGCAATGATAAATGGGCCTCGGTGTACATGGGCCTAGGCATCTGTAGACCTCGATTTGTGGGCCTCGACTATGCAAATTACCTAGGATTGAGTGCCATGTGGTCTGGCATGAGTTGGTTGTGGGCCCCGGTAGGTTGCCCAAGTGTGCGAAAACGTAACAATAGTCCCCCAAGTCTAAGTATAGTCATTTATGTAATGCAATGACTTTGATGAAGTAAAGCCAGCCAGTTAAGTCGAAAGAAATTTTGTACCCCAAATAATAGTCCCCCAAGTCCAAGTATAGATATTTATATCATGGTTGGAGTTAGAGATTTGCTGTTGTCTGAGAAGTGATGATAATGATGAAGCTGAGGTGGTTGGGATAACTGAACATGCAAGGTTTCATGGCTAAATTATGATGAAGAAGCCGAGGTGGTTGAGAAATCGAACCTACGAGGCTTGATGGCTGAATTATGATGAAGGAGCCGAGGTGGTTGAGAAATCGAACCTACGATGCTTGATGGCTGAATTATGAAAAAGAAGTCGAGGTAGTTGAGAAACCGAACCTACGAGGCTTGATGCCTGCGAGGCTCGATGGCTGAATTCTAAGGCACATTGACAATAATTGTTCCTCGACAGTTGTGCCAATGATTTGATGTTTTGCGCATATTTTCGAGGAAAAGTGGCTGAACCATTACAACTTCCAAGGCGTCTGCTACCGTCGAATTAAAATCGTAATCATGAGAATAGCTGAAGCTTCTAGAAGCAGACATGTTGGAGGAGGTGCGTAGGGGACACGCTTTAATCTGAGGCGTAGGTTTGAAAAACCGTTTGAATTCTACACCTCGGATTTGATTTAGAATGAAGGGTCCAGATTGGATGGGCTTTGATCGGACGGTTGGGGTTCGTCCTGGCCCCGTATAAAAGGCGAGAGACCCCCATTTTTCTGGATTTTCTACCTTTGCAATCTGATTTTTCTTTCAAAGCTTAAGTTTTTTGGCATCGAAGCTCTTTGTCCCCTGACTTTCTAGCAGCAATTCGTCGGTGTAGTTATTCCTGTAGGTATTTTCACAGAAAATCCCTTGTATTGTGTTCTTAGTCCTTTTTTTTTAAATGGAGTCCACCTCGGGTAGGGAGTTGGTTACTATCGCGTCGTTCGATTAGGGGTCTACTTATAGGGGAGACTTCGAAGTTGAGCAGTATGCTATGACCGAGGAGGCAGTAGACTACAATGTAGAGTGGAGGCATCTAGAGTCCCTTCGAATGTGACATCGAAGAGGCTGGAGGAGATAATGGAGAGGTAATGTGTACCTCATTATGTGGAGATGTTAGTACCCAAGGCCCATGAGCGAGCCTGCTATCCAAGGCCTGGGTACGTGGCGGGGCGGTGAGTGAATATTTGTTTAAGGCAGGTATGTGTCTTTCTCTACACCCCTTCTTTAGGGCGGTGCTGAGGAACTTCATGTTGTCGTCGACCCAGGTTCTGCCAAATGGGTGGAGTCAGTTGGTTGGCTCGTACTTCCTATGGAAGGAAGTGTCGCTTGGGGAGGACATGCCTTTCCACGTCTTCATGACCCTATTCCAGCCTAGGGTAATAGGTAAGGAGTCAAGGGGGTGGTATTACTTAACTCTTTGGGGGGCTCATGCACCATTTGTGGTGGGGTTGCCTTCTTCCATTAAGGGATGGAAGGAGTCGTGGTTCTGGGTAAGGGGCAGGTGGTAGGCGGTGGAGAGAGACACTGCCTTGGCTTGCACAGTACCGACCCAGTACTACGAAGCCCGTGAGTCTCCCAGCCTAAGTAGTTTGCATTCTATATTCAAATTTCTTTTTTCTCTAAGGGTGTGTTTGATTACATTTATTTTCCATGGAAAATATTGGTTTTCCATCCAAATTTTCACTTGGAGTGTTTGATTGCTATTTTTTTTCACGGAAAACATTTTCCAACTTTTGAAAATATGCCTAATTTTCCTTGTTTTTAAGGAAAATATTTTCCTTGGATAGAGGTGGTTTTTATTTTCCACAAAAGATGGAAAATATTTTCTTTTCTAGGTAATATTTTCCATGTCAATCAAACACACTCTTAGTGTTAGATTTTTCTATTTTTGTCAAGAAGTTCCATGGAAAATATTGGTTTTCCATCCAAATTTTCACTTGGAGTGTTTGATTGCTATTTTTTTTCCATGGAAAATATTTTCCAACTTTTGAAAATATGCCTAATTTTCCTTGTTTTTAAGGAAAATATTTTCCTTGGGTAGAGGTGGTTTTTATTTTCCACAAAAGATGGAAAATATTTTCTTTTCTAGGTAATATTTTTCATGTCAATCAAACACACTTTAATTGTTGAGGCTTCGTTTGCAAATAGCAGTTCGAGGTTCGAGCTGAGCAAGGAAGAGTTCGAAGTGATAGAGGACATTTACAAGAGACCTTTGAAGCTTCGCCACTTTGACCACCTCATCGATCGAAGTAGCTACTTCCTTGATTTCAAACTGATGGCCTCCAAGGGTAAGAGGCTCCTATACTTAGTGTATTTCTTGCCTTTTGTTTTGATGCTAATGCATTGACATGTTTTGCAGATAAGTTCAAAAGGAGGGAATACCTAGCCCTGACATGGCCTTTATACTTAGGGCCACATCCACTGTGAAGGCGAGGCCCCTGAGGCCGGATCAAGTGGTGCCAAAGAGATTTGGGACAGGGTAGAGCGCCTCTCGAAGGACAGCAATTCAAGGCCCTTGAAAAGGGGACACCTCAGAGGTTGGAGAAGGCCAAAGAGCCTCGGAAGAAGGAGAAAGTCCTCGAGGAGCCAAAGAAGAGGAAGCTGGTGCACGTCACCAGCTCGTCAGGAAAGTTTGGGACCTCTGTGTCCCATGAAGGCAAAGAAGCCAGTCAGCCGAAGCTCCTTGCAGCCGCCTCGAAAGCGGTTAAGTTTGAAATGGTTCGTCGAGCTAAGGCTGAGGAGGCAAAGGAAGAGGTTGCGAGGAGGGCAGCTGAGGCAAAGAGGAGGAGGCCACCAAGCAGAGACTTGCGAGGGTGCAAGGGAAGTCTCCGAGCTTTCTTGCTGGAAGGGAGGAGGTCCTGGCTCCAGCGTTGGTGGAGGCTTTGCCACCTGAGATCTGAAGTACTATCGAAAGCTTCTACAAATTCTGGACGGATAGGTGGCAGTTGTACGCCTCATCATGCGACGCTATAGACTTGACTAGGGCCCTCATGAGCCAAAGCGTGAGGACCTTTGGCCTCGCACTGGAGTGCAGGAAGGCCCTCGCTGACTTTCAAATGAGGACCCTATCCTCGGAGAAGAAGACGGCCTCCCTTGCAGAGGAGCTGAAGGGGACTAGAGCTGAGACGGATGAAGTGAGGGCTCAAAAACTTGAAGATATGGTGAAGTTGGAGTCTGCCTTAGCTCAAATCGAGGTGCTGAAGAAGGAGGTATATAAGTCCCAGTACGAGGTGGCCTCCTTGACCAAGAAAGTGGAGAATGACCACCAGAAGGTGACTGCTGAAGCCTTGAAGAAGGCAAACATGGAGCTGGCAGGGGCCCAACAAGTTCTTGGAGGATCAGATTAAGTGGTATGTTGATGATGTGACTAAGGCAAGGGAGGAGGCCCATGAGGCGAGGGAAGAGGCGGTGAAAGACTACATCGCCAACTTCCACAATACCAAGGAGTATAAGAGCTTCAGCACTTACTGGAGAAATTATGCTTATGCTGAGATGATGGAGAGGGCTGAGGAGCTTTACCCAAGTCAAGACCTGTCACAGCTGAGGTCGGAGTTTGTGGATGAAGTGCCTCAAACCCCAACTGATGAAGCAGTTGGAGATAAAGTAGCGGAGGCAGACGAAGGAAATTCTGATGCTCGAGCTACGGAGGCCCCAGCTATTGAGGCACTTCCCTTGTCATCACAGGCTTAGGATAATTTTCTTTTCAGTTATTTCTGATGTACTGACCTCAGGCCCCCCTTTTGTAATCTTGATTGAAAATCAATGGAATACCTTCTTTTGTTCAATGTTTTTATCCTAAGTGTGTTGGTCTCGTCAAGCAATTGAACTTAATATTGATTGAAGAACTAAATAACTTTAACTTGGTATCCTAAATCCAGTCACTTAAGCGAGTAAATTGTCCGTAAACCACACGAGCCATGAACAGTATTGGACTTAAGCAAATGAATTGTACTTGTGCTTAATAATTGTAACCTGAATGGATCCTGACTGGACCATATTTCAGCCGAACTCGGAATATTATCTGATTTGAAAGATAGTTGTGTGAAGCAAGTAGTGGTTGAGCCTTGTGCCTAAATAGGTGTTTACGCCTCGGAGTTCGAACGAGGTGGCCCAAAGATGGGACGATGTCCTCTCCTCCGAGGTGATGGCGCTTCTTAACATGGTGGATGGTTCAGCCATGCTAAGGCTTCTTCCACTGGCGTTCAACCTCGCCAAAGGGAGGCAAGTGTATGCGTCTCGGAGTTCAAACGAGGTGACCCAAAGATGAGACGCTGTTCTCTCTTTCGAGGTGGCGACACTTCCCAACATGGTGGATGGTTTAGCCATGCTGAGGCTTCTCCCAGTGGCGTTCAGCCTCACCAAAGGGAGGTAAGTGCATGCGCCTCGGAGTTCAAATAAGGTGGCCCAAAGATGGAACGCTGTCCTCTCCTTCG